AAAGCCGGGACCCGCTCGGCGCTCCGGAGCCCCACCTCACCCACCGCCCATTGGCTGCCTGTGGAGCCGCCTCCCGCCCCCTGGGCCCGGCCTCCGCCCCCCCGCGCCCGCTCGCCGCCCGGCCCGGCAGCCCGGAGCTAGCCATTGGGCCTTGCTCTCGGGGTCCCGCGCGCCGGCCGTGCTGATTGGCCGCTGGGGCTTCATTCATTTCCCCCCCCCATCCAGCGTCCGCATACACATTCACGCCCCGGGGGCGCGGCCGCCACGTGGGGAGTGGCGCGGGGGTGGCACTGGGACCGCACCCCCTCTGGTCCTGGATGCGTGGGCCCCGTTTTCCCCCCAGCGCGAGAGACTAGGAGCCCGGCCGGTCCTACATTCCACGCAAGCCGCATTCCCGCCCGCATCCCACTGGGCGGGGGGCAGGGTGGGCGCATACACATTCACGCCCCGGGGGCGCGGCCGCCACGTGGGGAGTGGCGCGGGGGTGGCACTGGGACCGCACCCCCTCTGGTCCTGGATGCGTGGGCCCCGTTTTCCCCCCAGCGCGAGAGACTAGGAGCCCGGCCGGTCCTACATTCCACGCAAGCCGCATTCCCGCCCGCATCCCACTGGGCGGGGGGCAGGGTGGGGGACACTCCTCCCTGCGCAGTGCCGCTGCCTGCGGGCCAGGATTCCCGCAGGGCTCGGCTGCGGCGCGCGCGAGGCGGGGCGGCTTCCCGGCTCGGTCCCCGCGCGGCTGCTCATCTCCCGCGGCTTTCAGGTCGCACCGTGAGCTCCTCTGCGCGCCTGCCTAGCGTTCAGGTTTCCCCACTTCTCCCTCTAGACTAAGCGTCTACGCGGCCCCTTGCGGCCCCGAAAGTGCGTCAGGCTCGGGCAGAGTCTGATCGGCTCCGTCTTCAAGCCTCACGCGGGTGCTCCTTCTTTCTGCTAGGCACCGAGGCCAGGTTAGTACCACGCGGGCGGTTCTGCGCCAGGACAGCGGGCGGCAGAGGCTCTTCGAGATGTGAGCTTCTGTTACCCGCTGTGTCTGGGGTTCTGGAATGAGAAGACTGTGGCTCGGGGGAATGCCACTAGTAGATGGGGATGGACACTGAGCCCAGTCCTACGCCGCTGTAGCCTTTTCCTGCCTTCTCCTCCCAGCTTGAACCAGTCATCGGCAGTGGACATGGTGGGGTCACACCCCGGGGGAAACTTGTAGGAGAGCATGGGTGGACTGACTCAGGGAAATCCAGTGTGCGGGCTGGCATCTGTCCAGCTTCCCGTGGAGCCATTGGTTGGAGTTTATCCGGATTTGTCTGGGGCTGCCAAAAGGGAACTGGGATTAAGTTGTCCTTGTTGGAAAGGTGCACAGAAGAATGCGGTTACCTCTTCTTCCCTCTTACGGTTTAGGTCTCTGGGAAAGATCCTGAGTGGAGTAGGATCTCAGCTGCAGTGTCTCCTTACCCTACAGGGGTGGAACTTTGCCTGTTCCCACTCTGGATTTTGGTCTATTGTCAGTTCCCCCCTTTCTCTCTCTAGTCTTGCCTCAAAGGGCTTCAGAGATCCCAGGGCGCTGTGGTCCCTGGAGACATGGCTGAGGGCCTGCCTGGCAAGACCACTCAGGACTGTGGAAGGAAGGGCATGTATGTGGAGAAAGGCAAATGAGGGCTCTGATGGCAGCTGCTGTGGGGATGATCTGAGGGTGACTGAGACAGAGTTGACAATGATAAAGGTTACCCTGGGTTATAGACTGTGCCCTCTGATCCCCGAATGCCCTAAGTGAGGCCTTTGACTAGCCTCCAAGGGAGGGAGTGGAACAAAATGGGGTTGTTGTCTGACTGTTGGTTACTGGCCTGAGCAGGCACTTTTAGGTCCCATTCTAGCTGAAGGAGCTGTGATGGATTCCTGTGTCTGAACCCAGCTAGGGATGCTGGGTTCTCCTGGATCCTGGCCCAGGTCATGGTCACCTTGAGGCAGCCTGTATTCTTGTGGTTCACTTATCTCTCTGGCCTTTCTCCCAGTCCAAGAGGACTAAGGCTGGGAGTCCTACAACTGAGGTCTTCTCTCATGCCAGACTTGAGCAGGGCCGGTGTTCTTTGAAGCTTGGGCTTTAGACCTGGAGCTGCCTCTGTCTTCTTGGATTAGAGTAGCTCTGGTCTGTTCTCTCTGGACTTTGATTTTCCTTTTTGTAAATTGGGATTGACAGTACCATACAGTCTTGTGTCATTTAGGTGAGCAGAACGTTATAAGACAAGGGGAGTAAAAAACCTGGAGAAAGGGCTTTTACTCTGGTCTTTCCCGTTGCTGCTGTCTGCTGGATGGGCAACCAAATCTGTTTCCTCCTTTGTACAGTGGACTCTGGCGGTTTGGACTAGTTTACCATCCCTTTCTCTCTGAGCTCTGATGGTCTGAGAGTCTATACATCTGCCCCTAATCCTGATGGAGGATGGGAAATGTCTGGACAGTGGTGGGCAGGTGTCATGTTGTACAGATTTTGGGGTTGCCACCGACACTTGAAGAACTTTAACCAGTAGTTATGGTGCTTTTTGTCCATCTTTTAGCCTGTGCCTCAGTCCTGAGAGAGGGAGGGAGGGAGAGGGAGAGGGGGAGGGAGAGAGAGAGAGAGAGAGAGAGAGAGAGAGAGAGAAAGAAGAAGGAAAGAAAGAAAGAAAGAAAGAAAGAAAGAAAGAAAGAAAGAAAGAAAGAAAGAGAAAGAGAAAG